AAAGGAAAGGAAAGGAAAGGAAAGGAAAGGAAAGGAAAGGAAAGGAAGAGAGGCCTAGAATTGCAATTGAATCAAAAAACAACAACAAAAGAGCAAGCCTAGCCTTTGTCAAACTCTTATACTGCTAGAATAAATAATGGAAAAAAACTTAATGTGAATCAAAATCAAAGACAGAGAAACTGCTGGGTCTGCTCTCTGCACGCCTTTGAACTGGCCTAAGCATGCCTCAGTAGAGGCTGGGAAACGTGCGTATACTAGTTTGAGGATTTCACAAGTATGAAAAATAAAGAGCCTTTAGTTTGTATATTTTGTTTAGCTAAGTGTAGCACCACACACACCTTGTCAAAAAAAAAAAAAAGGGTTTTGATCAAGTCTTTTTGTACTTTTAAAAGGCAAGTAAACAGACGGCAAGATACTGACTGGTTTAGCTCTCCAGTCAACACACATGGAGAGCAAACTTATTTTCTTCTGGGTACTACTTCTAATTGGGTTCTTTCCAGTGTGAACTCTAGGATAAGAGCTCCATGTGAGCTTGCAAGGACTCCATTAAGTGTGTCTAGTATAAGTCTTGGTCACTGTTTACAGCAGACAACATGATACGAAAGTCATCTGTACTTTCTGCGTACTTGGTGCATCCTTAGGACTGCAGATAGAGAAGCAATAGAGAGGTCAATGCAGATATCCCACACTGGTAATACAAAGCAGAAATAAAAAGCACAGATTCCACAATGGGAAAGAGTCTGATGTTACTAGCTTGGAAAAAATAAAAAAGCTCGGACAGAATGAAGAAAAGAATTAGGTCACTGACTCTAAGCCAGGAAAAAAATACATGCAAGAGGAAATTAGAGCAGCAGAAGTATTTCATATTAGCTCATCCAAAGACTTAACGTGCATGGGCAGCAGTATGTTCTGTCTTCTGGAAAACTATTGTGGGCAGGAAAGATTGTTAGGAATTTCTGTGCCATCTCCACAATGTAACTGATCCTACCCAACAAATTACATATGTGGCAGTATATATAAGATATATCTTTCAAGTCTGAAAGCCTAATACTGGGGTCAGCTTAATAACAACTAGCACAAAGCCTGCTTTTTAACCCTGTACAGTATAAGATACCTTACATTATACCCACATTGCCAGAACATCATCAAGATTGCATTTTTTTCCGAACATTTTTTTCCTTCCACTGCACATATGGATATTTAATAAAGTAAACATTTCTCCACATTAAAATTATTCTCTTAAAAGGATGGAATTTACTGTTGTTATCACTCAAAGGGTCCCAAACATTCAGCAGAAATGGGCTAGCCAGAATCTCATGGAGCAGAAAAGGGAAACACCTGGGATGGAATAGAGTCATACAGAGGCTGGGAACTGGTTGATGGGATAGCAACTCTGCAGAAGGGGTTTTGCAGAGTCGTGGAGGACAAATCAAATATGAACAAGATGTTTGTTTGTGCAGGAAAGGAAAAAAAAAAAGAAAAAAAAAAAAGCAGCTAATCACGTGGTGCAAGCAGATAACAAAAAAGTCAAAAGTAGTGCTTATTTCCCTCTCCAGCTTTAGACTTTTCCATACAAGCCAAACTGGAGATAGCCTTCTGGAGTGCCAATGAGAGGATAATAGATCTAAAGCATACAACAAAATGGTCTAAAGGCTAATGTGAAAAACAAGTGGTCCTCTCGTGCCTAAAGAGCATTGTAGAAAAAGTGAAAGCAGACAGTTCTCAAAGTCATGCAGTTAAAGGGCCTAAGGCAATGAATGATCAGATACTTCAGAAAGGGATCTTTCAATGAGAGTAGTGAAGCACTGGAAAGAGGGCTTAGGGAAGCAGTGAGATCTCCTTTCTTTGAGATTCAAAAAATGCAGCTGTTCCAAGGCCCTGAGCAACCTGACTTACTTAACTTATGAACTGTTATTAACCTATGAATGATTTTCCCACCTGCTTGGTGGGGAGATGGACAAGGTCATTCAGAGTCTCTTCTGACGTAACGTTTTCTAAGGTTCTATTACTCAAAGCGCTGTGAGTCTGAAGAACCTAAAGCTCATATCATACATGAATGCTGCCTCTCTGCCCTAACTAGTATCAGATCCAGGTAAACCCTAGCACAGCTAGTATCTGCTGGTAATGGCACTGTCCATGCTTTTGGAAAAAACAACACCTACAAAGCTGTAGCACTTCAAAGGCGTTTTGAATTCCCATGTCTTACCTTGCAGACAATATTCCAAACCCAGAACAACTCACCCCAGTTCAAAAGAGGGTTCCTCTGTGCTTTTTTTTTCTGAAGTTTCTGTTGAAGCAAGCCAACATACAGGGGGAAAAAAAATAGAATCATATGGTCAAGAGAGCAAGCAGGTAGGGATTGACTCAGTAGTTCATTGATTAAGGCACTGAAGTAAGTGAAAAAAGAACTGGTGACAATTAGAAAAGGGGAGGATCAGAAGGTGTCTGCTCCCCAGCATATTCACACACTTTATATGTGAGAATCATCAACTAAATGATTCAAGGAGAACAGAAAAATACCTTGGTCTTCTCTCCTGGTTGAGATCACTTTTTGCGTTTTCTTCATAGTGAATAACAAAGGAAAAGAAATACAAATGGAGAGAAAGTGGGAACTTACACTGAAGGGACTGAAGAAGTGAATTCTGTCTGTTTTTGAGCCTTTGACTGTCAATGTGATACAAGACCAGTCACTCAAACCAACACTTCACAGGTAATGAGCCATAACAGGAGTCCTTCTCTTGACACTCTGAAGTCTAATACAGAAAACACTGGTGCACTTCCATGTGTAGCTAGAGCCAATATCAGCTGTGTTTGGAATATACAGGCAAGTTATTTAATGTTCCAGGGTCACTCACTGCTTCTGGGATCAATGCATAGAGGCCTCTCTCCATACTATTCAGCCCAGCTTGCAGAATGGTACTGAATTCTCCATGGAGTCTACTGGCAATATGTCCTGGCCTGGCTTGACTCCTAAGCTCAGAAATTGTCAGAGAGGAACTGACATGATCCAAACCCATGTTAGGAAGTGTTTTAACAGTTCAAAGCAGGAGTTTAGTGATCACCAGTGCATAAGGCATAGAACTACATGTGAAACAATGAGAAAAATTAAGATACTGAATAAATGGCCGTGACGCAAATTCTGTCCTCCTCAATTAGTAAACACAGCTCTCCTCTTTAACTTTTCCAAATTAGCCCCTCATGTATTCTCTTTGACCTTTCTTTTCTGAACTGTAGAGGAGGTATTTGAGATAAGATCTTGGTGCACTACTGTTCAAAATCAGTCAGGTTCCCGAGATTTCCATTAATCCTCCTGCTTGTCTTCTTTGTATGTTGTGACATTTTAAAGTTATATTCCAAACTCACTTCATACCATATTTTTGTAGCATAAAATCCAGCCAGAATCCAACACCCAAGCTACAACTGCTTTGTAATAAATAATAAATCTTTTCTAAAACAATAACAATGTTCTTGATCAATTGTGTTTGCTTTTAAGTCAGTTTGATTGCTTTAAATTATGCAGTCCTCAATTTTACACTTGGTTTTGTCTTTAAGTTCAGGAAGTTTGCCTTGAATATTTTTGATGCTGATTAGGTAAATGGGAAATACCTTGAAGTTCCCTTTTTCAGAGGATCTATTCTGAGTAACATTGAGGTATCTGTTAAATCTCCCAAATTTTTAATATTTCATTAACAACTACATGAGACAGAAAGGCAACGTCAGGAGACACCACCTTCTTAGTGTCAGGCTGACAGAACTGAAACCTATACCCTGCATCTAGATTTTTGCAGAATGTCTTCTCCTTGAAGCTGGCATAGGCCATGGAGAAACTAATGACTATCTTATATCTTCTTTAAGCTAACGGAATATGAGTAAGCTGATGTTGAATAACATGTTGAATAATGAGGTGTCACTTCTCTGTAAAAGACATGTTGTGGCTCAACTGCAGTCCTGTAAACTCAGGCACTGATGATCCTTGCTCCATGATTTCACACACCATCCAGGAAACATAAGAGACCAACTAAGTTCCTTCTCAGGGCCTGGCATACCACAATGGAGGAGGAACTGTAAAGTCTTCACCCAGTCAAAAACACATTCTGAAAGAACAGTGTTTTATGTAGATAGCAGAAAGAAAAATCCTTCTGGGGTGAAAAGTGCTAACTGTTTTTGAAAAAAACAGAATTTTCAAAAAATGTTTTTGAGAAAATCAAAGTAGATCTCTACAGAATCTTAAGCTGGACTGCCAGCTGCTGGGGAGCAAGATGGGTTGGGAGCCATGTAGTTGAGGAGCTGTCAATTCAGAGAGATTAGGATTGTATCAGCCTCAGATAGTGGGCATACCAGCAAGTCCTTGGAAAGGAAAGGCTAGGAAGGCCCAGCTTGAAGAATCATTTAAATTTTAGTGGAAAATATCTTTCAGCAGATTGTCAATACTCTCTTTCTCAGAAAGCTTAGCAATGGTGCTACCACATCACCTTAACCCTGCCAAGTATGAACATGAGTGGGAGAAAGGACCTCAACCTTGTAAAGGGAAAATAGAAGGCTGGAGAAACTCGCTTATCTCCAAAGAAAACAAGGTACCATTTTTAAGTCTAAAATGATTTTTGCTACTTATGTCACAGAAAGTGCTTCTCAGTTGCAGGTAATTTTTAGCAGGATCTGAAAGGTCCATTATAAAACAGAAGATGACCTACTCTATCTGTTCAAATTCCTAGACTTCAGCAGTCCCCTCCAGGAGATCTTACTGCACTGATCTATGAAGGGTCCTCACTGCATTTGCAACCCAAGGTAGATTTAAATGAACAGATGTACAACAGCTGAGTAATTTTAGCTTTATTTGGCACATATCCTATTGGCAAGCTCATCACTTTCTATGTCTTTCTTTTTCATAAAAATTCCCTTGATATGTATGTTGACCAGAGCTGCTGTGAGGGCAAAATATGCTTTAGGCTTATGGCTGCTGCATGCCTGATAAGAGTGGCTGCAGAAGGACATTTTTTCATTTCACCTGTACAGAGGCAAGAAGTTTTGTTGGAATCCTAGACCCACTTAGTCCAAACTTTCTTGATAGCATAAACTGCCAAGAAGGCAGACTATCTATGGCTGTTACAGTGGGATGGGATGCAGATTTATTATGAAAGACCACAACATGAGCAAGTTTTTCAAGGCTTGCCTTCACTTTCCTTCCTTTTATTCAACACTTCATCATGCTTTCTCCTTTCTCCCTGGTGCCTGACTCTCTGGAGACATCATCTTTTGTATCAAGGAGTGATATTCATCTCCATCTTACACTCCATCTTTGTTTTTCAATGGCTGCAATCTCTCTGAATTCACATTATTCTCCATTTTAGGCCAAGAGAAGGCCTGGAGCTCAAAAATCAATAGGGAAGTACAAGAAAAGTAGCACAGTCTGGACCTAGCCACAGGCAGCTTCTTTTATCTTCTTGAGATGAAATGTCATTTCTATAGCAAGTGCCTTTTCATTTGGAATCCGTCTTTTCAATGATTAAATAACTCTCCTGAAAGCACCACATCTTAAAAGCTGGTTCTTTGGGGATACAGTGATAATAAGCATAGGAGGTGACAGAGGATAATCTCAGCAAGCATTTAGTAAGGTAGGAAGCACAATACCTATTCAGCCTCTGATTTGGCAGAAAACTTCAAACTGGGATTAAGACAAACCTGTGACAATTCTGAAAGAAGCAGCCAGGTGTTGGGACATGCAAAATGCTGCTGTTAGATATGTTGAGTTTCCAAAAGGCTCTGGACATTCTTGCAGAAAGACATATCCTGAATAAAATATTAATGTGAAATTAATATTACTTTCCTCACAATTCATAGCCTCTGATTTCCAGATCCAAGGCAAGAAAAAGAAGACTTCTATTATTTGAGTCAATAAAATCTCACCCCTGGATTTTCATCCTTCTGAAAGATCCCACAATGGAATTGCCATCCACAGTCCTTTAAACTTTCAAATTCAAGTGGCTTTGCTCCAGAGGGCATATAATCCCACAGCAGTCATTAACATGATGAGTCATAGTGAGAACCTAACACTGGAAAACCAAAAATCCGCTTTTTTCTTCTCTCTTAAAATAAATAAATAAATAAATAAATAGGTGGAGTAGAGCTAAAAATAAAGGTAATTTTAAAAGAGTAAATGTAAATGAGCAGTTCTGCTTCAGCTACCATCAAGCAACGTGTTACATTGACAGAATCATGTGGCACACCTGAGTGACTTATGTTTCCTTCTAAATTGTGTGATTTATTGCAAATAAAATGTCTCTTTATGTTCAATAGTAGCAGCAGCATTTCTGGAAGGTGACCCAAAATATCTCATCATCACAATACTTTCATTTTACTGCACTAAAATGAAAAGAGAGGAACAGAGGATTTTTAGCTTTTGGCTTTTAAAGAAACTGTTGGCATTCACAATTTGAAGAGTTTCTATTATTTCAGCTAAGATGATTAATAGACAACAACTGTTATCTGGCAGATTGCATTTAAAACCTATCTCCAATATTGAACATACCTCCAATTACTATAAAACAAGGAATGAACAACTCACATGTCATCATATTCATTTCAGGCAGGGAAATATCTGCTTAAATTTAAGACAGGTAATTGTGTAAAGTTTTATATAATACTAAAAGAAAATCCACCCATTTTGCTAGATCCATCACTTTGAAAATAAAAATAAAGACTTTTCTCTCACAGTAATACAGATCCAAAAGTTAAGTAAAGAAATGGATTTGGCTTTTCTTGATGTCCCACAGTGAAAAAAAAAAAACAAAACACCTTGCTTTGAGATCAGGTTTGGAAACAAACAGAACTGTTTAAATACTGGATTAAACAGTAATTGGATAATTTAAAGATATTAATATGATTGTATCTATTGCTCTTGGATTTATATTTTCATTTACCAGGAGTATGACTTTACTTACATCAGAACAGAGGGTGGCTCTGGGCATGTGCAGCGCTTTGTATATTCCAACTGCACCTGTGGACAACCAGCATTGTAGAGGTGTTGTTGAGCTGTAATGTGAATCATTATGTAGGAGAAGCTTTCAGCTTCAAGGAATACACAGATTCATGCAATTCAGATGCAAACATAAAATCATGCTGCTCACTTTTCCCCTATTGCAAGTGTTAAATAGGTGAAAATAATGAAAGCACATACATCAGAAAATACATGAACAGCTGTGTACACCAGATACAGGACAAAAATATGAGTGTGAATAAGATTCATGAGTCTAGATTGAGATAGAATGAAACAAAAACGCGAAGAAATTACACTTAGGATTTCATAATCTGTCATTCAGTTCTCCAGTTCCATAGCCTCATTACTCTTTTGTGTGTGTGTGGTTATATATATATCTAGAAATATGTCAAAAATGTGATCTGTTATCAATCTCATACTCGGTGTCAATATCAATTTATAGTGATATGAATTTAATAAAGTATGCCACTGTTAGCATCAGTAAGGCAGTCTGTACAACATCTAGCTGCCCATCCACTTAGCAGAATTTCTAATTGAAAAGTTTCTGCTTTTGTATTGCAATTACAATGGAAAATATTTCCCCATAGACATATAAGAGGTATATCTAGTATCTCTAAGCATGGATACCAATTGACAGCAATAATAAGAAAAGATAAGCCTTTCACAAGTTTATAAGGAATTTAAGAATTGGAATTTCAATACAGAAAATGGATATTCTTGGTTGGGATTACTTTCAACAATTTCATAGCTTCTGATGTACTGCCATGACCATTAAAACTGACTGAGAAATAATCACCATATTCAAAATTGAGTGGAATTTTCTTTGTTTGTTTCTTCTAACCATTTTTGAACACATTTTCTTAGCTATTCGTCATCTAAACATATTGAAATAATATGACAGGAGCACAAAGGGCAGATACCATGATTCATTAACACAGTGTGTATGTATGCTCAAAATGCATCAAAACTTTGGAGGATAGAATTCATGTATACCTCATAATATTAGAGCTCAGTACTAGTCATTAGCCAGATAGAATGTGGGGTGAATTCATCCTTCGATCAAGGGATGTAGATAAAGTGAGTTTTCTGAATTCGCTGTATGAACAGGCATTTGTATGTCTAAACAAAATAATACTCCAGAATTTAAAAACAGTCAATTATATTTTTTATCAGGATTTGGTGAGATAGCATTTGATGACAGAATTGCCCATTGACAGCATGTAAGCTGCATAAATACTAATCTCCATGCAAATATGTCTATTTGAAAATCTAGTGCATTCTTTCCTCTGTGATGAACATGTTGCACATCATTATTTCAGTGTTAATTGCAGTAGTATTATATCCAGATAGAGGAGCTTAGAGTGTCTACTGTGCAAATGCAAATTGTTTGCCCTACTGAAAATTGGTAGTGCTTTATATGGTGAAGGCTAAATGCCATAAAGAACGGTGAATTGCTTTCAGTCCTTAGTGCTGATAAACAAGTTTATTGTTTCTTTTGTTATTTTGTTTTTGTTTTTTTAGCATTAAAACCCATTCCTGCTAAACCTAGATATAGATTATCATTTCTTATATGTAAAGGAAAGAAGCTATGTCAGATAGACACACAGGAGAGAAGTATTTAATCCATTTGGTCTTGAAAAGTAGTAGCTTATTGGGCAGGAAAAATTACTGAGAATGTGTTAGGAGTGTATCTAAGTATTGTTCTTTCCTCTGAGGCAATGAAAAAAGAGATTCTGAAATTATTTATTGCATTAGAGATTTATTTGGGATTGCTGAAAGCAAAGTGCTAAGTAAATACTGGAGATACAAGCCTCCTTTCACTGAGATACAAGCTAGACCCAAAGAGCAGTACTTTGTGCATTGCTGCTGGCAGTCTGAATTGAAAGAAAAAAAAACATTACAGTCTTTGGTATGCCATAAACCAAAGTTGGATACCCACACATTACACAGCACTCGCAGGGAATGGGAGAGGTGGTCAGATGCCTCTATTCTAAAAGAAGCACAGTGCTGTATTGCTTAAGAACTATGCAAGAAAAAGCTTAGTTTTACAATCTTTGTTGTAGGCCAGTTATAAAGCAGACATTTGTACTGTTCTTTAGGCAACTTTGGGAAGAAACAAAACATATTTGAGAGCAATATGTCTAGCTCGATTCACCCTTTGAGTATCAGGGCTGCTGCTTAGAGAAAACACTGATGAAAATCCAGCCTTTGGATACTCCTATACCAGTTTCCCCGCTTCAGTTTCCTCACTGTTTTTGAGGCTGGCCAGAACTCTTTAAAGAGTTCTGAAGTCTTTCTCTTTGTCTTTTTTGTCCTAATTTCTGCTTTGTGATACAGAAGTAAATACACATGGACAGACATGATCCTTTGCCTACATAGTATCCAATGCAATTTCTTTCTTTCTGGTCTCCCTAACAGACTACTAAATACTCCTTATTCCTCTCCACAATTTTCCCTTTTTTTTTTTTTGCCATGTGACACTCTAACCAGCATTGTCACATAATCAGAGCCTTTTGTCTATGGCCCTTTGATGGCAGGGATGTTGGTTTAGGTGCTGGTTTGTCATCCACATCA